CGCAAAAATATTGCTACTATTAGAAATCTACTATCACTTTTTAAAAGGAAGGGTCAGGAAGGTTTATTATGATGGGTCAAAGAAGCCGTAGAAATGTTACCAGCTGGTCAGAAGTACAAAACCACGCCCAGGGGATGAATCAAGACATCTCACTGGAGTGCACACCATCTCTGCATCCTCATTTGTGCTGCTGTTAACCAAGAGAGCTGCTGTTAAATATCCACGTTTTCCCCACGAACAGACTTTTACTGAAATGACACTGGCCAGCTAAGACCCCATGAGACAAGGTTCAAACTGAAGGTCATCCCACACCACAACACGCCCGTTGCCTAGGTGGTCTAAAGATGAACCACCAAAGTAGAGTACTCCCGGTGAAAATCAATACTACACAGGCTCTCTTTAGAAGCCCTATTTATTTGAAATTCAAATATGACTGGACAGCCCTGGTTTTTATTTGCTAAATATGGCGATACCAGGCAAAGGAGAAGTAAGATAGTACACGCTGATGGACAGAATCCATCTAATGGTTCTTACTACTTACAAAAAATGGCAAATCTTTCAAGGTCTGTAAACAATGTTAAAAACATCTAAGTGAAAGCAATGGACTGTGCTGGAGCAAAGGATTGTGACAAATATTTAAAGGTACATACGCCGGAAAAAATGTTACATCAGCTCCTGTCATTTAAATAATTTAAGATGTAATAAAGGGCCTACACCATGAGTCTGGCTTTGTAGTCACACGCTTGCACATTAAATGGCTGATAACCTATTAACCCCACATTTCCAATGAGAAAGCAACCACAGGAAGAAGCAGCCATGACCGTCTACCTCTTAGAGCTGGCATTGTCTTCTGCAGGAAACATCAACTTTCTCACTTGCCATCTCATGCGCAAGGCAAATAGTTGGCTCCCAAACTCTGACTTAGAGACAGAGACTTTAAAAAGGAGGTACGGAGTTCTAACTGCTCTCATAAGAATCTTTCATCTGCCATGGGGTTCTCTGAGGTGAAAAAAGAACGTTTTTAGAAACGCCACTCTCTACAGTTTTTGTAGGTGCTACGCTCCCCTCCCCATCCCTGAGGGGGAAGTTTTGTTTTAGAAAGTTGTCTTAGGCAGCACGCATACTTGACCATACATCTCCCCCAGAGAAGCGCCAGCACAATTAGACCAGGCCCAAGTGATAAGGTTCAATTAGAGATTCGGCCATTGGTGAGGACTCTGGGTTCTGGGGAAAGTCACTGAGAGCCATCAGATAAAAATGGCCCATTTAATCCGAATTATCCCCAAATGTGTTGCTCTGGGGAATCTGACCTTTAAGATTTAGATGAATTGGGCTTTTTAAATACACTCATTTGCAAAAGTCCTTGGTGGTAAGGAATTGTTCCTTTATTTGTAACTGACCCCTCCCCCCATCACTGTTCTACATCTGAACTAACCCATTCTTAACCTTTAAACTAGGCAGTTCATGGCTCGGCCCTACTGCCTTCCTAATTTGCATATGGAGTTTGTAGGAACAGTCAGCCTTGGCATGCTAGTTGTAGCCTGTGCTCTGCCTGGTTGAAGCGCAAACATATAAACTCTGCATTCGGAGAGGGTGACCTCTGTCTTCACTGCTGAATAGAGTCATCTTTACTAAGGCTAATGGCATCGAGAGCTAAAAATTCTTTCCATATCCCCAGCTCAGCGTATTAGTAGGTATGCTCAGTCAGTTACCATTTCCCCAGCCTCATGAGGTGATCCCCTCCCCCGGTTTTAAATATAACAAATTGCAGGGTAAGGTTAAGGGATTTGCCCTGAACCAGGGTAGGTACTGTGTAGGTAGTCAGGATGTAGCTTCACCAGCAGACAACAGAGAGAGCTTGCAATATTCAGGTCTCTTCACATAAAGGAAGATTTCTTGTTACAGATTTCAAGTGAAAGGAATGCAGGCAACTCTCCCTTGTTACTTCAATAAGCCTTCCTGGACAAGGTGGCTATTTTTCAATATATTTGTGTCACTGACACACATGAGAACTTGTGTAGTCAAAGAGCACTGTCCCATGTTAGTTATACAGAGAAGAGAGAGATGATGGATCCAGAACAGTCACACAGATACACACACACACACACACACACACACACACACACACACACACATACCCGTTGCTAGCGGGCTGGGGCAGACTGCAATTCTAGCTCTCTTGGTCTTCCTTACCAGAGGACCAATGAGTGTTTCACTGTGCCTGGATGAATGCACTGTAATCTTCCTCAAGGTGGGGTGCACAGGGCAGACCCAGAGCAGGGAAATTCTGATCACTGGCTCTTAAATAATGAATTTCTTTTGTCTTCTTAAGTGTGTAAAAAGACCATTTGAGTGCTCCTTTGTAACTCACATATCTCACTGAGGTTTTTTTGCTTTCTTTTTTTAAAGAATGGGGCCACCCAACTCCAAGGGGCAGCAATGACAGGGGAGGGAACAAAACGGAATTCAGAGAGGAGCCTGGTAGGGCAGAGTCACTCAATGGTCCCTGCCCTTTCTCCCTGCATAGTTCTTTTGCCAGACCTTACTCAGGACTGGATTTTAATTCACATGTGCTACTCCTGTATATGCCACCTAAGTAATTGAGGGGACGAATGTCAAGCTGTCTCTGGTCAAGGTTCCTGATAATGCTCACATTATGTGTACTGGATGACACTAGGCATATAACAAGGATTTATTTGTTAAGCTAAAATGTAAAGCCCTGCTGTACCACTGTCTCTGGCCCAGTCAAATATCACTTTAAGGGTTTTGCTGAACTTTTTCTGAAGCCTCTAAGGTTTCAGAAGGGGGAGGGGCAGGGAGGAGGGGAAGCCAACCTCTGGTGAATAGCTTGCCAGGGAAGCTCCAGGACAGGCTGCTGGGACATGCCTGCCATTATCCAGAACCTTCTAGAAAAAAATGTCAATCTGAAAATACTTTACTTTGGAACGCAGAGACTCTCAGGAGGTATTTCTGATACTTCTCCTTCTTATTTTCCAGCCTATTTACGGTAAGCAGTTTTATTAACAAAGCCTCCATGGAAAGATTCATTCAGATTTACAAACTCCAGAGAAAGCTGCCCTCAGCCTCTTGGCTCCCCAGATGGGTCAGCAACATGAAGAAACAAGTAAGTGAAAGAGGCCATATGTCTTCCTAGGCCTCAGGGAGCCTATGACCCTGATGGCTCTTATCCCAGTTAGAAGCCCGGAGGGCATAGAGCTGGGGCTGCTTAGCCAGTCTCTGAAACAGCAGCCACCTGGCTCTGGGGGAGGGGGGTTGCAATGGGCAATATTTTTCTCTCGGCAGAGCACAGCTGAACAGTAAGGCTAGCAAGATCAATCAATCAGTCATCAAATAACAATCAATCAGTAAACTGTCTTTTTTGAGCTCCTTAGGATAGATCCAGTTTTTTTTGTTTGTTTATTTGTTTGTTTTGCCAACTGCAAGAACTGTTTAAAATATTAAGCACATAGGTAGATAGATAGATAGATAGATGATAGATACACAGATAAATATGCAAAAATCAATTTAGCAAACAAAATCTATCCATTAGCCCCCTGCAGGTTTCCTACACTTTCTGAATGGGTTCCCGTCCTTTAGTAAACATCTCTCTTCGTCTCTTCGGATCTCCTCTGAGGACCAGGGAACTACCTTTGGAGGCAGTCCAGCTGGGAAGGCTATTACACTTTTCATATCTAAGCGCTCCTCTCCCAAGAGGGCTGTGCAGCGGCCGGACTGTTCCGGAAAGATCTGCCGGCACCTCTCTAGACCTTGCAGATCCCGGAGCGGATAGGCTCTCCCAGACCTTGTAGAGAAAATACCACGCTATGGGCTCAAGCTAGGAAACTTTCCCTTAAAACTGTATTATCCCCGGAGAGCCACAGGGCGGGAGGGTGCGGAGGGGGAGAGGGGAGCTTCCAATTTCTTCTCAAGGAGCTGTGACTTATTTTGGGCGGGGGTGGGGAGGCACATTTACAGGAACCCAAACAACTCAAGAGGGGAAACCAATGAACTGAAGCTTGACTCTTGGCTTGTACTGCGTGGCTTTGGGTGGTTCTTAAAACAGACCAGACTGCTCTCTTGGGTTGCTCTCCCCCCCCCCCCCCCCCGCTCACCCTCCCGACCCTCCTCTTGTCCCTTATCCATAGTCCTGCATTGGGCTACACTTTTTCTGTACAAAAACCTAGGTACCCAACTCCAGATGATGGTGCCCGATTTCATCTTTGCAGCCCGCGGGCTGGCTTGGGTTGTCTGTACAAGGTCGCGGCTGCTATTAGTCCCTAGACCATTAGGCACGCGGAGAGGCTAGACGGGGACGGGGCGTGGGCAGAAGGGTGCGTGTGCCCTACTTTTAGCCAAGTTACTAGTTTCATACAGGGGATGGGGACACAGTTTTGGAAGGCTCTCGGCCACAGTAGACCTGCAATCCTCCTCCAGCAGTGATCCTTAAGCTTGACCTGGGCCGCTGCCTGTGTGCCGCATCATCCCTAAACCTAAGCCAAAAAGGGTCGCCGGGGTTCCAGAGACCTCTACATCCCCGGAGCGCTAACCAGCCTGATTTAGCGCGCTAGATGCTGAAGGCCTCCTAGCAGCGGCTTTATCGGACCCCTGCCCGGGTTCTGTATCCCATGGCAGGACAAACCAGGGCAAGAAGTGAGGTTCGGGACCGTGACAGGTGCGCCCTAAGACCCCAGCAAAGTAGGGAAGCCCCGGAGAGCCGTGGTCTCCTTGCGGGGTTCGCTGTGCCAACACGCTAACTAGCCTGCCGGCCACCTGTTTCACACAGATTTTGGGGAGGGGGCACAGGCTGCCCCAGCAAGACCCAGTCGCGTCGTCCTTCCCCTACAGGTCCGCCAACCCCGCGCATCTAAGTGCGCACACCCCCGCAGACCCACCACCTTCCAGTGGTGACTTCTTCCCTGGGGTCGCCCCCCTTCCCGGCAGCCGGAGCCTTAGGGCTGCCTTCCCCATGCCCGGGCTCTTCGAAGGACCGTGCCAAGTACCTGCGGTGAAGATGCAGAGAGCGATGAGCGCCTTGCAAACCATGTTAACTCCGGTGCTCGAGACGGAGCTGGATACGGCTAGGGAAGTTTCCCGGGGCTGACCAATTGCGTCGGGCACCGGCAGCTCCTTTTTTTTTTTTTTTTTTTCTTTTTTTCTTTTCCCGCCCGGTGGGCTGCGGGAGGAGCGGGGAGGTGCTGACGGCCCCGGGAGCGATCAGTCCCGGCAGCTTCGGCTGGTGTCCGGCGGCGCAAGGCGAAGCGGAGGTGGCGCGCAGGAGTCAGCTGTGTGCCCTGCAGCGCCAGGCGCGCTTCTGCTCCATCCCAACCGCCCCGGAGCCCAGGGCCCGCCTGCGCCGCCGCCAAACCCCTCCCACGCGGCCCTCCCGCGAGGACAGGGGCCACCTCCTGGCCTTCCCTCTCCCTGCGCACAGGTCCCAGGAGTCCCGGCCCAGGGCGGCCTCTGCTGGACAGTAGGCGCTAGGTCCGAGCTTTCAGTAGATTGAGCTGCAGCTCAGACAGCCTGGAGCTGTTCAGGAAGCTCTGGCAAAGCGAAGTGTGGATGGGTTCCTGCCCTCAGGAATCTTACTCAGTTTCGCTTATGAAACTGATCATTGCCTTTGGAGAGGGGACCGAGAGATCACCCCGGATAATCAACACACTTCTTTCTTTCCAAGTTCGGGGAGAAGACCTTTTCTTCGTTTCTGCAAACAACTCTCTGTGTACTTTAACCTTTCACCAGCCCTGAACTCCCAATGCACTTCCTGGTGCCTATCCGGCTTCATACCAGAAGAAATACCGCTGTCAGGTGACGCGATCGCTAGATAGCTGAACCAGGTTTGTCTGACTAGTTATGTGCTGAAATTCCTTCTACTAACCCAGAGAAATAAAACTTATTATTATTTCACCGTAGGAAACTGAAGGCATGAGAAATTAAGGCTATGTTCATATAGCCTATAATGTACACCAGGCCCACGATGAGGATGATGAAGATGACGATGACGATGATGATGATGATGATGATGATGATGATGATGATGATAATGGTTGATATTTCCTGAGAAATGGCAATAGGCTACCCGCTGAGCAATGTACATTCACATGCTACCCAAGTCGTTTACTTTCCGTAACAATCGTCCAGGGTGGGTACATTGTGTCCTCATTTTCTGAGTAGGAAGTGTTTTAGGTGCTTGCCAGGCCTCACAGTTAGCAAAGGGTAATAAGATAACGCCCTAGGCTCGTTCCCAGTACTTGAATGTCTGGCCAAAGATCAGAGCTTCTCCAAAGTGGGGCCAAAGCTGACCTTTCACCCAATTCTTCTGCCAATCCCTGCACCTTAGATTTGCCAATCCTAGTCCCTGCTTCACACTACATCCTCTTCAGATTGGCCTGAGCCTGGTGGACCCTAGTCACTAACTAGAGCTTAGAACTGCAAGAATAAGGGACCCTTCCTAAGGTTCCTAAGGGACCCAAGAGCTTGGTGCCACCAGCAGCCCTGCAAATGGTTTTTCAATTGTTTGCTGTGTCATTTCCCTCATATGTCAGGGATTCCTCTTTCTCAGTCAGGGTTCATCACTTTAGCTGTGGCCAGGTCAGTTCTGTGCCTCACCTCACCATCAGCACTCACAGATCTTGGTAGGACTTCCACAGTAAATTACACTGGGCTCGTAATTGTTCATAAATGTAATGATTCCTGTTGGGGCATGAAGCAAAAGATACTGCAAGCAAGGGCTGAACTCCCTTTTCTGCCTCCCTTGGCCAGAAAAACTGGCTAATTTGTGTGGTCTTAAATGTGTTCCCAGAAGCCTTCTGATCTCAAGTCCTTCTGGCATCTCCCTAACTGGTGTGATTGTGAAGCCTTTTGACAACTGGGCTTTGATTGTCATGGAGCCTGCAACCACACAGGGATGGAGCCTGGCAGTGGCATTTCTTTGAAGGCACTGGCTGGTGCCTTTCCCTTTATACAGGCCGATATAAGCAAGAGACTCTAGGCAGATATAAAGGTTTTTGAAGATTACATCACAGAAAAATGTACCCATTTGAAATTCAACAAAACTCTTCTCTCGAGTGCAAAGCGAGTGTCACCCCAACCTTGCTACTGGTGATGCCTTTGCTGACCCTCACATCCCAACCAGAAAAGATTGCCAAGGTTTCTTGCTGTCTGTGGATTTCAGTTGGAATCCTTTCTTTTATTAAAAATCATTCCTTTTAGTTGCTGACTAAAACTTTTCAATCGATCAGTTTTGTCACAGCATGTTAACTGTTCACTAGACTTTCAGATCGGCTGTGGAAATGAATTGTAATATCCGGCGGAGTAGGCCAGGTTGTACTTCTGCACATGTCAGCCCCAGAACCAGCCCTTGGGCAGGAACACGTAATTTATCATGTAATTTTTCTGCAGCTCCAGGTTATACTCGGTGTCAGGACTGTCAAGGACCCTCTGTTGTACCACGATAAGGCCATCTGCTCTCAAATTTAGTAAAATAGAGGAAGAGAGAAGAGTAGAGATCAGGTTTAAACCTTCCACTCAGAAGTGACACTATTAGTTTGTCGAGAGCAGGGCTCAAAACTCTTTTATTCTTTAAAAGAAAATTTTATGTGGCCCCAGACATATAGAGATATAAAGCAAACCAAACATTTACTGATCAGAACTTGTGAATAAGTTGATTAGAAACAGTTCTTTGGTAAAATATATAGTTTTGCCATTTGTTGAAGATGAAAGCAAGGTTGGATAGGAACAGCATAGATGTGTTTGCTTATTTTCCTATAAAGAATCAAACCACCACTGAATGTTGGTCTCTGTCAGTTACAGAGCATCTCTCACTTTTCAGAGAGAACCAGTGTCTTTTAATTCACTTATTGCTTATTCTGTAACAGTTTCATACTTACACACAATGGATTTTGTCCCCCTTCCCCATTTTCCTGTCTCCTCCCTTCCTTCTCCTTCTGAAACCTTTCTTTCAAAGATAAAAACACACAGCACAAAATGGCAGAAGCACGGGTAGGGTCATTTGAAACATTGTCAGAGATTCTGTTCTAATTCCAAGCCAAAAATTCATTTAATGATATTTTTTTTAATGAAACTATCCAGCAACTGAAAAGACAATTAAAAAAAACACAGTACAAGCCAAAGATGCACAATTCACTGCTTGCGTATTGAGGAATCACTAGTAGGAAATTCTTGAAAGGCTTTGCTTTCTCTAATTAACCCATCATGTTTCTGTAAGAGGAGAAAACTTTGTGTGCACGGTAGGAAAGCTAAAATTCTGCACGTACGATAATCTTGAGTATGACCTAAGGGGTTTCAGGCAGTGTGGGCTGGCACGTGGGCAGTATGGCGCCACGGCCAGTGCTAAATGCACATGGTGTGTGTTCAAAACCAAGGCTGCAGCGATGCCTCTAGATGCAACACAGGCAAGGTCTGCTACAATCGCCCCGGATCCACTTTTGGCTTTGAGCTAATTACCTCTTCCAATATGTTCACAAGTTCACATCCAGTTACATGACTCTGTGTAGCTGCACCCAGCTGTGGGCTAACGCTAGTCAACAGCCGAGTCCTACTTCAACAAAGCAAGAAAGCTCGGTCTACTCAACAAAGCAAGAAAGCTCGGTCTACTCGTGTGACAAGACAGGTGAGAAAGTCTAATGGGAAAGAGCTGTGTACCACAGAAGTTCATTGCCTCTGCCACCGGCAGGCTTCTGATTGTATGATGGTGAATCAAAAGACATGCAATAATAAAGATTTTTAGGTTAAGTGTTACAAATAATATCTCCCAGTTATTGATATCTGCAGTGTGCTATGAAAATTTCTAAGTTGTGTGTGCATGCACGCTTGTGTGTGTGTGTGTGTGTGTGTGTGTGTGTGTTAGATGCATTTGTTTGCACTTTATGGAGAAGGTACTGCAGGAGACCAGAGGTCTTCTTTGGCACAATGATTACTTTGACAAATAGGAGAAGCTCTGAAGTTACTCTCCTGCAGAGGGGAATTATAAAGGCAACATTCCTGTGTAAGGATGTCTCTATCTCAGTACTAAGAGAGGTAAGGATGGCTAAATTACTAGGTACCTTGATATGTGGGAGGAGTACTGGGTGAAGTCTGGATAACCTTCCACTACTTCCCAAAGCTTTTGGTGGTCGCTTTCCCCAACACCTGCTAACATTATCAACTGTTGTTGCTATTATTATCATTATTATTCTTATCATCATCATTAGTATTAAGTTATTCAGCTGAAGATGACTGTTAAGACTGAACTCATGCCTCTTCTTTGAGAGTTACTCATTCCACAAGCATCTCTCATGTCTAGATCACCTATGCATATTCTTAAACTTATTTTCCTCTTGTTTCTGGGGGTCCAAGCTAAAGCCTTCTATATGATAATGTCAAAAGTACTTTTCCTCTCCTATGATACTACTACCCTACATTTAAAAATAAAGCAACGGATATTTGGAGTTGAAGGAAATTGAGGGATGCTATGACATATAATTGCAGGGAACAGATCCTCCTCAGTGGGGTCAGGGGTGAAGCTTGCATGCAACTATTTATGTATACCTTTAGATTGAAAGCCGGTCCCTTTCAGGCATTTCTCTTGGTCCTTTTATAGTGTTCCAGTGGGAAAAAAATCTGATAAAATAAATCTGCCTTTAACCGACTTTGTTCCTTTTTGATCATTGTTAACATCAATTCTAGTGTTACCGACTTTCAACATTTTATAAAAGCATTGACTGGCTTTGTTGTTGACATCCTGAATGTATTGTACTTCATGGACCATGTTAAGCGATATACGCCGTAGCTCACAGAAATATTGTTTCTGGTCTTTAGTCACATGATTGAGGAAAGAATAATTTGGTAGTGTAATAGTGACTAGAGGTATGGTCTTCATCTCTCTACCAAACAAGGACTTTACTCCCTTGGCACCTGTTGGATTCTGTATTGATTTTTAAGGCTGCTACAATAATACATTGTACATAGAATGTCTTAAGGAGCAGGTATTTCTTTCTTTCTCTCTCTTTCTCTTTCTTTCTTTCTTTCTTTCTTTTTTCCTTTCTTCCTTTCTTTCTTCTTTTCTTTATTCATTCTTTCATTATTTTAGGTTTGCATGGTGATTCTACTATAGAACACATGGACACTCTGAAAGCTGAATAGAAAGTATGTATTTCTGGCTGGTGACTACATGGGAAACTTGCCTAAATCACACAGCCCCGAGCCTCACCATTCTTTGCCTTTTATGCACAAAAACACATCCTGGTTGACACACTTCAATCAGCAAGAACAGTTAAGGAGTGGCAAAACTACGGAAGCAAAAAAGCAAGATCAGTACATTCAGGGACTTTCCCATATTATTGAACTATGGACTAGGTCTT